TCGCTCTCTCTCAAAATAAATAAACATTAAAAAAAATGGAAATCTTAAGTTTTATGAAATTCAGGAAAGGATAGAGTCGAGACTTTAAAGAATTTTAGATAAAAATACAAAAGGTAACCAAAAGTTGACATTTATTGTACCTAAGTTTTTGGATCTAAAGGCTTGGAACATAAAATCATCTTTAATAATCATTCCATTACTATCTTAAGAATTATTTGATTTTATCCTAATTTTTACATATTAATAGCTATTATTAATTAAATGCCCATCTTTCACAAACTAGTTAGTTCTTACTGTGAATTGTTATGAGGACTTTAATGGATATTAGAATATGCTATGTTATTTACTCTCATTTTAAAGGGGCAAATTATAAAATGTCAAAATACTCTATTTTTAACAAAGGTAACTCAGCCAGCCTCTCTTCACTAATTTTCAAATAATAGGCAATAAGTCGTAAGTTTAACTTAACTATACAAATGCAAAATGTCCATTAGAGTTGCAGAATCACTAAATATATGTAAGCATAATGAAACAAACAAGACAGTAAATACACACATGCACACACAAATATATATTCCCAGCTTTTTCCAGTTCCTATTTCTGATGCTACGGCTAAATCCAAGAAAGGAAGATTTGGGGCTTTTTGCTTGCTTTTATATTTGGTTCACTTTCCAATTATATCTGTTAAGGATGCGGAAAGATTTCTATGGGCAGTATACATTATAGGCTACAACCTGACACTATCAGTAACTTGATAAAGTAGAAGCCTACTGTGACACTTTTCTCCAACTCTACATTTTCAGTACATTCCAAGTGACCTTATGGAACTGCCAAATTCTAAAATGCATTCCACATCGAGAGAAGATTCAACTTGGTTCCATACAATTACAAAAGTTAGTTTCACCGTATCCTAATATTCTGAGAACTGGTCTTCTGACTATTTATCTAAAACAAATTTAACAAATATTTAAAGTGCACTGACTGCACTACACATTCAAAAAAAGCTATAAAGTGCAAAGATATTAAGTTAATTACCTTGAAAGCTCAATTATTCAAGACACTGGGGTAAAATTTAAGAATGGCAAATACCAGGCAGGTTAGTTTATGACGTGCAATCTAATAAATGCTACTAACACCTGAATGTTTATTACCATATTCCATGTACTGTGTTTTATTATTTCATTCTTTAATTCTCTCAACAACTCTATATGCAAGGTGATATCTTTTTTTTTTTTTTTTTAAAGATGAGACTAAATAGCTTGCCAACAACTCACAAAGCTAGTAAGTGGCAGCCTTTTTTCAGAATCTAACTGCCCATTTAGTATCCAAACCACAAAGATCAGAAAGAGACAGGAACAAACTTCTACCACCTACCACAATGTCTAATCTCAGTAAGATCTGCCTCACTGATTTTAAAAAGTCATTTTATTTCTCTCAGTTCACAATCTTTACCTAACGCCTTTGGAATCCCTCTTCTGGGCAACCCCACAGTACCTCATGCAGATCTCTATCATAAACACTAGACTGTCCTATAACCAACAACGTTCTACATGTCTACCACAATGCTGTAAGCTCCTTGAAGCCAGGACTCTGCCTTACTCATGCTTTATGTCCCCAAGTGCCTTTCAAGTGCCAGGAATATAGAAAGTACTGAAAGTGCTGTTAAAGATTCAATTTAATAACAGTTCTTCTTTTCTTATCATCTTCTAACATCTATCGTCAGATAAAACCTTAATGAAAATGTGGGGCGCCTGCGTGGCTCAGTCGGTTAAGCATCTGACTTCAGCTCAGGTCATGATCTCACGGTTCGTGAGTTCTAGCCCTATGTCAGGCTCTGTGCTGACTCCCAGCTCAGAGCCTGGAGCCTGTTTCGGATTCTGTATCTCCCTCTCTCTCTGACCCTCCCCTGTCGCTTGTTCTCTCTCTCTCTCTCTCTCTCTCTCTCTCTGTCTCTCTCTCAGAAATTAAAAAAAAAAAAATTTAAAAAACCTTGATGAAAATGGAAAATCATAGAATCCCAGATTCAAACAGGAATAGACAAAGATCAAATAAGGCTTTATTATCTCCTTCATTGATACCATATCCCTGCTAACAGTCTCTACCTTTCAAGAAAAATGCTGGAAGGGAAATGAGATAAATCTGATCACATACGAACTGAATATTGCCATCATAAAGAAATATGGCTGAAAATAATATAACACTATGTGTTAACTACACTTAAATTAAAAAAAAAAGAAATACGGAATTCTAGAAAAATGGGATTTAAATAAATGGGATTTATCAAGTCACTTGGTGTTGTAAATCTAGTCCCCTTGACCTTTATACCTAAGAACTTCTTAGGCTTAAAAAACAAACAAAAAACCTGACAATTTGTAACCCTGTAAAATTCTCACTTTAAAGTTCAATTCTTCAAATAAGACAGATAGTATACACCCTCAAAACAACAATATGGATGTAATTTTTTTCCACCTTTCAGAATATCAAATCTACCAGTTGCAAGGGTTTTGTTTTAGCAAATGAACATGATCTAAAAACTATCTTGTACTAATAGATGATACTGCAGATGTTAAGCATAGTTAAGGTCATGCTAAATGTAAACAGCATATCAAAAAAGGCAGCCAAGAAAAAAAAAACTGTACATGTTAAACAAGTAAAATATTCTAATTAACATATCACCAGAAAATCATCTCTTTAAAGATCTTTTCAATTCTAAAACTGACTACTCAAACATTAGTACAGGCAAAACCTTGTAAGTAGTATTATGAATGTCAAATCAAGAAACAGCTTACATGAAGAAAATTCTACCTCCATACTTACTAAGCATCCGTAAGTCAGGACAACTGTGCCCTACTCAAAGACTGAATTCTAAAATAGAGAGAGGCTGATGGGGAAAAAAAACCAAAAAACTTGTCATAAGGGTTCACAAATTAGGGTGTTATTAACACTACAAGCCAGAAAAGGAAACTCTTTAAAAGAACAGTGCACAGTAACACAAAGCTAGTGCCGGTCTCTACAACTACCAGCAAAACTGACTCTAAAAACTTCAATTTACACCTGCTCTAAATCACAATCCATTTGCTTATACTGCTTGAATTTTTAGGACCTTAAATAAAAATATCAAGCCCCTCCAAAAGCACATTACTAAAAAGGATGTTAAAAAAAAACAAAACCAAAATACCTTTCTTCTTCTACATGAAAACCGTGTGTTCCCTCAAAAGTAATCAGCCCTTCACTTGTACGAGCACTATGAAATTATTATTCAAATTCAACCTCTTTGATTATATGCACATATCACCTAGTTTCAGTCTTCAACAAGGCTTTGTTTGCTTAGCAAGATAAGCCTTTATCAGAGGTACAAATAATATTCACTTAGTCTTTAACACAATCTAAATCAGGATAGTAAACTGTTAATACCCCCTCCAACTTTTCTCCCCCTCGACTGTAATCCACCATCCTCCCTAATGGCAAAGAACAGTATACAAATTCAACGTAGAATCTTGCATCAATTTAAAGAGGTTAAGAGCATTAAGAATTGTATGGTGGAACCAAACAGCTGGGGAGTGGAGATACACATACAATGCAGATTAGATAACAAGCCACTTATCAGACTTAAGCGCTGTAAATCAGAACTTTTCATTACCGAGCTTGAAAGACGGTGGTGAACTGGTAGAGGAGATTCTCAGCCTATAAGGGGCACTCAATCTCTTGAAAACTCTGCCTCCCTCATAACCAACTACCGTGACACACCTCCCGGAACAGGACTCTCTTTCTTCCAAATCACACCATCCCAGAGATCCGCACACATCTCTCCTTTCAATAAACCCTGATGAAATTTCTGGTTTCGTTTACAATTACACTAATCACAGATCCAACAGCAGCCTTACGTACCAATAAAAATGTCTTAGCTACACCAATCTTTGCGCAAGGCTAAGTTTTGCTTCACCTTCCTCACCAAGTCAGAGTCCTCGAATGAATAACTTCCTGCAGTATTTCCAAAAGCTAGAGCTAATCCCCTAAAACTGGTGTGGCCTCACGTTCCCAGATCACCGCCTTCCATTAATGATCACTTACGTCCATCTCTCTCGTCTGAGGCCAGATTTTTTTTTTTTTTTACACGATCCTTAACAAGTGGTTTTCTAGTCTCGGATACCTAGGAAGAGACTAGCTCCCAAATGTGACAGTAAAGCTGTAACAAAATGAGGGAAGAGACGGGGAAGAGGCGCGGGGTCTGTTTTGATCGGAACAGCCAGAGCACGGGCGCTGCAATCAGGTATGGAACCCACAAATCCAAGTCCTGAGGACAAATAGGGTTCGCTCAAATCAACACGGACAGTGCGAGCCACGTCCCATCAACTGGAAGGCGGCGACGCGCTCAAGGCAAAGCGATCCCGAGGCTGCCAGGGCAGAACCGAGCCGGACGGCGGAAGCGGACTGTAAGGGACGCTGCAGGGTGGGCTAACATGGTGCCTTCTCCAGAGCGGAAGGCCACGAGGGGGTCGGGAGCCTAAGCCTCCATCCCCATCCCGTCGGGCTCTGGTCCCGGGAGGGCTCCGGCCTCACAGCTCAAGTTTCACCAGGGAAAAAAGGAGGCGGCCACCAGGGAAAAAAGGAGGCGGCCAACGTGCAGCCCGGCACCTTCGTCCCAGCCCCGAAGTCCGCGCTCTCGGCTTCCTCCGCGAAAGGGCGAGGAGGTAGCGGTCCCCGGAGCCAACACGAAGGAGCTCCCGGCGCACCCAGCACTCGGCGTGGGGCAACCGCGCGGCGAGCGGGGGAGGGGAGCGGCCCGCCGGCGCAGCGCTCGCCGGCCCCGGCCCTTCCCCGGCCTCGCCCCGGGCGCGGCAGAAAGTTTCCAGCCAAAGTCCGCGGCACCCTCTCGCGCAACCAACCGCCGAGCGCAACCGCCTTACCGCCCCGGAGGGCGGCCCGCGCCGGCCGCCCTTTGCGCCGGGACCCTCGGTCGCGCCTCCCTCAGCCCGCGCCGGCCGCCGCGGTTCACCTACCACAGAGCCGGGAGAAGAGCAGCAGCGGGAAGAGCAGCAGCAGTAGCGGCGGCGGCGTCGGGGGCGGCAGCAGGAGCCCGGCCCCGGGGGGAGAAGCGGAGGAAAGTTGTGCTTTGCCGCCTCCGGGACACAGCGGGGCCGGCCCCGGGGTCCGCGCCATCCCCCACCCTCCCCCCGGCCCGCTCGCTCGCCCGCCCCCCCGGCTCCCCCGGCCCCGGCGCCTTAGGCTCTGGGCGGCGGCAGCAGCGGCCGCGGCGCGGCGGCGGCGGCGGCGGCGGAAGGTCCGGCGCGCGCGTCCCCAACTCCCAGTTCTGGAGCCGTCGCCGCCCGCCCGCTGACACTCAGCCGAGCGCTCGCGGCTGCCTCGAGTCCGCCTTCGCCGACGCCACTGCCGAGGCTGAGGCGGGAGCCGCCCGCCGCTGCCGCCGCCGCCACTCCCCTCCCCCCGGCACCCGCCCGCCTCGAACTCCTGGGAACTCGGAACGCACCACCCCGCCCCGCACGGGAGGGGGAGAGGAAGCCGACCCTCAGAGCCGGCGTGGGGACTCGCCCGCCCTCCCCGCACAACTCCAGCTCCCGTCTGCTCGCGGACTGCGAGCCGCGTCTCCTCCCACCCCGCCCTCCTACACACGCTCCTCCCCCTTCACAAAAAAAAAAAAAAAAAATCTCTTCTCTCCACTTTGATAACGGGTTTCTCCCAAAGCAGGGTCTTCAAGAGGACAGGAAAATCTGGAATAGGTTAGCAGGCCCCGCCCCTCGTTCCTGCCTCGTCCCCGCCTCGTCCCCCCCTCCCAACGTTTCCAATGGTCTCGCCCACTCCGCCCCTCGCGGGTCCACCGCTGCCCCGGCGCTGACGGAGGCGGAGGGCGGCGGGACCATCGTGCTGGCTGCTCGCCTCGCCCCGGCCGCGCTCTCCCTCTGGCTGAGCGCCGGGCAGGAGGAGGGGGGCGGCGAGGCGGGAAAGGCGGGATGGGCTGCCCTTCCGTTGCCCACGCTAAAGGTCCCGGTCTAGGGGGCTGACCGCAGCCTGGAGAACTAGTCCTCTCCCTCCTGGCGGGGGACGCAGGGGGCTGAGAGGAGAGACTTTCTCCTGCTTCCTGCTTTCCGGGACAGCGGCGCTCTCCGAATCCCTTCCTCCTTCGCAGCCCCACTTCCCCCGGCCTCCCGAGACTTGTTTGCACAGGCGTTTTTCTTGCTCCTTTCTCTTGGGAGGGCGGCTTGGTGGAGGGGTCAACGGAGCCGAGCGAGGAGAAGGGGCCCCCCAGAAGGTTCGCTTTCTCGCTCTTGCTTCTGCAGCCGCCGGGCTGTCCGCTGTCCTCGCCGGGCGACTGGCAACAGGAGGCCATGGATCCCCCTCATCGGAGCGCCTTGAGTGCGGTGGTGTTTTCCTTGGTTTTGTTTCATTTGCATGTTCGCACGTGTTAATTTTATTTTCACTGCCTGTGTTCCTTGGAGCTGATCGCGGCAAAGCGACCTCGGGGAGTGTTGAGCATTTGCCCCAAAGAGGTCTGGGATCCAGCCCGACCCTCCCTCACCCCGGATGGCTGCGCGCTCTGCCCAGTCCCTCCACCCGCCACGCACAGCCCTGGTGGCCTGACCTTGAAGCCACGGCCCCTGGCGGTTCTGCAGGGGCGGCGGACAGTTTGGACTGTCCCGAAGGGGGTCCGGAGGCAGAGGACACACGTCCTCAGTCGTGATACCATTAACTAATTTGATGGAGGTCCTGCCATCTCCACTAGATAGCTGTAAATGTGACTCCAGGAAGAAGAAAAGTCGAACAAGGATTCAGCCGCCTATCGCAGCTAAAACTAATGCTTGCCTGCAGCCAGGAGCACGCCCCTTCCATCACTAGGGTTCCCCCACCCTCCACCCACTGACTTACAATGTTTTACTCACCTCCAAAGCTACACACCATTCTACCCCTGCCTACCTCTCTTTTTTCTTAACTTCCGCCTCCCATCCTGCCTCCCAGCGCTCTCGTTTAGTGCCTCTTTTCCACCCCCTTTCTAGTGTGTCTCTCTCTTTCTCTCTCTCGTCTTTTGTAAGCCTGTCTCCTGCAGCCACTCCTTTCCATCGCCTATCCTCAGGATGCGCTTATGAATAAACCTTGTCCTGCGTCTCTACGGGAGATCCCCTGATGATGATCATAATTGACGAAATGTAGCTATTGTGACATTCCTCAGCTGTGCTGACACCACCATTTCCCTTGAGAACGTTTCTTTCCCTATTTTCTCATTCTCTAAACCTAATTTCACTGCTAAATTTAGATAAAGCCCACTGTGCAGCGACTGGCTAATTATCTGTTTAGATAGCACTTCAACACGTTGTTGAGAGTCAGTTAAATGTTAAACAACCAAAATTTTAACATCGCTAGCCAATTTCATTCCCCGGGCCTTACCACCATCGTTCCAGTTTCCAGAAGAAGTAATTTAGCCAACACTTGAAAAGGTGCCAAAGGCTTAATATGGGGGGCCATTGTGCAATCGCTACAGAGATGGTGAGGGATTAGCAGGTTTAGTGCTTCTCAAAAGGATGATACGGAGCTTTAAAAATATAGATTTCCTCCATATTTTGAGTAATTGGATTAGTGACATGCTATGATTATATTCTCCTCTGACCTAAAGTGAAGAGAGAGCATGGAAGAGCAGTATTTATAGATGTTGTATAAGCATTAAAAGAGCACCATGCCGGTGTTTTATGTGCATACATGCATTATGTTCTACTATTAATCACTTGTGTTGATATAACATCTTCAGCCTGGATGTCAAAGCACAGGCTTACTTCCCATGGAAGGTAGCGATGATGACTGTTATCCCTTCCCAACAGCAAGAGGAACCGAGGCACAGAGGTTAATTGAAAACACAAGCTATATGGGGTGGTTTTTCTGCCAGAACCAAGTTCTTGCCTTCTAGTTGGCACCACTGACTCTCAAGATTCCTTTTAAAGTTAAAAACAAATTTACTGAGGTAACTCAAATTTCCACTTTCTAAATGTCCAGTCTTAAATTACGTTGTCCTCAAGTGAAGACATACTCACCCCACACCTTCCTGTTGGAAATTATTACTACCTACAAAAAGAGATTTTATATTACGTGGTACAGTTCATTTTCTTTCAAGGGTCAGAATTGCTGTTGACTTTTAAAAACAAAACCAAACAGAACACAAACCCTTTATCTTGAGAGTGTTAACTGGGTTTTATACCATTTGAGTTGCCTAACTTTAAGATAAGTTCACCTTTATTGTTTGAGTGATGAACTGGTTCAGAAATAATTATAGCTAACTTATTAATATTTCTGGCACCATTAAACCCCAAGTATGCATGTATTTTCCAGGAAGAAAATTATCTGAACAAAAGGCAACATGATCCTACTGCCAACAATGATTTCATTGTTTTGGGTTAAGAGTACTGATGGTGTCCATCCCACTTTCTGCCTCAAAGACTGTTGGCCAATTATCGAGGTTCATTAACTCTTAACTAAAAAACAAAGGTTGACATCTTAACAAAGAAGTAATTATGTACAGTGCTGGACATTTTACATTTACTCAAATAATCCAAATTAAAGGTTTGAGACTATTATTAGAATTTCATAGCTGACTCTGAAACAAAGAAAGCATTTTATAGGGAAGGTGGGCCATTATGTACTCAGCTCATTCCCCTTACCATCAGCAAATTTTTTATAACCTGCTGCGTGAAGAAGTATAGCTTTTCCCTCAGCAGAAGAGATGAGCAATGCTTTGTGGAATGTTTGAACTTGGTACTGTATTTGATAATAAGTTGATGTCACCCTACTAGAATCACAGTCTTCTAAAGGAGAGCTATGCAAACAGCTAAACTGTGAACCCACAAAAAAGTCCACCCACTTGCAAAATCCTCACCAACCTCACATTTATCAAATTCAATGGTTTTCTACTGAAAATATCTCCCCTCCCCGTATATTCACACTGCCTTCTCCCTCAAATTTCCTTTGGATCTTTGCTCAAATTTCACTGTATCATAGAGACCTTCTATCTCCACCCCATATGAAAGAGGTGACCCTATCCTCAATTTCTATCCCCCCTTCACTTGCTTTATTTCCTCCGTTGGACTCACTATCTGACATGTTATATGGAAACAAACACCTAAAAAGTATCTGCCATGTAAGCCCCAGATTGGACGACTAAATGATAACTGTAGTGACATAGCATATTCTAGTGTGTGTTTAATCGCAGACAAGCTCAACAGAATATTAATTTTTTAATTTTTTAAGGTCTTGGAGTATGTGATCATGTTGAGTCTTTCAAGCTGGAAGGCAATTAACGACCATTGCTTAAGACTCTATTTAATTACTCCTAATGCTATGTATTAAGCTATCATCTCTCTAGTCCATATTGACCCTCTCACACTCTGGGTTTGTAATACTGGGGCTGGGGCTCTGCAAACTACATGTCTCCCTTGCCAGCTGGCTTCCCAGTGGGTTCTATGAATAGAAGTCCCTGGAGGGAAGGAGAAAGGCAGAGGGGAAAAGAGACTTGTTCCTTTCTGTTTGCTTCCTGCTCCTAACAGCATCCCGACAGCAGTAACAGCCCTTTGCTCTGTCATCACCAGTTGGCTCCAGCCTCACACTTGCACACTCTAAGAACCAGACTCGTCAGATCCCTGCAGAGGTACCAGCACTGGCCAGAGCCCACGTCTCAGAGGTTTGAGCCCTCGCTCAACAGAAACCCTCCTCTGAGCTTTAATAACCCAACTTTTCCCTTGTGTTTACCCTGCTCTAAAGGTAGCAATGGCTTCTTCTCATTTACATCACTCGATTACCTCAACGTTCCTCTGTATGGCGTGGAAACCCTCTCCAACCATTGGGTGACAATATCCTAATTATTAAATTCCTTCAGTACCATAGTATGGTTCCAGTGCTTATGACTGGATTTGGATCAGTGCTCTACTTTTTCAGTGACTCTTTCCCCAAACTTTCCCTTGTAACAATTTTATCTTTCTCTAAGTCAAACTGTTTAAAATAACAGAACCAATGCCAATCTGTCAATTAACGTAAATAAAAACAATTAGGTAAATGAGCAAACTGTGTTCCACTTCGTTGGCAATAATCCAGGTTAAACAGACATAGTTTGAAATAAGTAAATTCGATGGTAATTCTGTTAATGTTTTAGTCCTATATACATATGATTTGTTTTTGTTGTTGC